GGACACAGCTATCAACCTAGGACTCAAAGCTAGTGAAAAAAAAAAAGGTATCACCTGATAGTGTAGGAAGATCTCTTTGACTAGGTTATCGGGGTGTGTGCTGGCCGTCAGAGCGGTTGAGAACAGGGTAGTAGTCTGGAACGGCCATCAGACTGCACCAGTGAAGGGACGCGAGGCTGGGCCTATGCTGGTCACTGCCCGTCTGTGCCTCAGGGATGCCTGTTTCGCACCTGCCTGTTTTGTAGGCCAGTGGGACACACAACTGCTCAGGTGATGGTTGTTGAGTCACCGTAAAGCAGGTGAGAAACATGACTGGTTGAGTGCTAGGCCCCGGTATGTGTGACACTGGACCAAACTCAGATGTCCCTGTTTGCTCAGCTTCAAGAACAAGGAGGTTTTTTCAAGCAACTGACAAATACGTATAAAACTAGGTAACAGGAGGAAGCAGCAATGATTTCTTTCTTCCACGGGGTATGTTCGTCCTCAAAGGCAGTAGACAGCCCCAGCCTGCTGTCCTGATCCATCTGTGCTCATCTGCTTCCCGGGAGACCAAATCCTTGTTGCTCCTTTGAGCCTGGAGCCTTCCTCTGCCCCCTCCTTTCCCAGTGACTTTATTTTCCCACTCCAGAAATTTTCCCTCAATCTTATCCCTCTTCAACAAAATAACCAAAGGACAGTGTAGCAACAGAAATCAGACAAACAATGGGATCAAACAACAACACTCATCACTTAACAACAGACAAGTATCACTTGTATCTGCACGTCCATTCTTGGGTTGTTTTTGAGAGTGCACTCCTGTAACTTCCACTTTGGTGCAGGCCACTGTGGGCACTTTGAGTCACAGCATCTCAATGTGTAAACATGGTCCTGAGCAGACTTCATCTCACAGAGAAGTCACCTCTTATTAATGATCATGTCAGCATGATCTGACCCATTCGATTCATTGCTAAGGACTGAATTTAAACAAAATTACTAGAAGTTTAACCCCTTCTTACTTTTAAGTGTTGATGATTATTAAGCGAATAAATATTAGGGGTATCCAGGACATTTCAGGAATCTTAAAGCTAAATACTAAAAGCTGGTATTCTAGCATTTACTAAATCTTTGAATATAATGAGGATTTTATTCTGTTTCTGCCACAAATAAATCATTATCCAAGCAAGTAAATTGGGACTGCAGAAGTACCCTGTGAAAAGTCACAAATGCCTTCAAGTTGGTATCCAGGCTTTAGTTCTAGAGTACAAATCACATTAGCTCTTAGTTTTCTTTAATACTAATAAATGAGTTTTGAGGGGGCCTTTTATTTTTTCCTTTCTGTGTCTAGAAAGAACTTGACAGTTCATGTCAACATGTCTGGTTATGCAAAAATGACACGATAGTGTCTTAAGAAACACTAGCTACTCTATTAGTGAGGAAATCAATTCTAGAGAAAAGCACACACAGGCCCACTTTCAAAAATGTAAGTGAAAATACTTCGGAGGATATTTTGCTGTGGAAGAACTTGCTGTTTTACACGTTAGGATAATAGTAAAGTTAAAAGGATCAACATTGCGTTACAGAGACAAACCTGAGAATAGCCTTGTTTGCTTATTAACAAAAATGTTAAGAGAACTGGCACAGATGGCTGCCCCGTAGTTCCTTGGGTGGAACCTGAATAAGAACCCACACTTCCCGCAGCCCAGGTACTATCTGTGCCCTCAGGGCAAAGCTTGCAATCCTCATTCTTGTCTCTCAGCTGTGAGGCACTAAGGACAACTTAGGGACATTGTACATCCTTTCATCAGAAAGCATTATGAGGAAATTATAATTATTACAGGTACAAGTATTCTAAGGAAAAAAATTTAGAACAAACATTTCTTTATGCTTTTCTTAAGGCAAAAAAATGACGAGCCATAGTTTCAATACTTTCAAGTACAACTCAGTATATCTATCCTAAATACCACGTCAGACGCTGTTGTCTAATAATTACAACAAATACTTAAAATATAGTGAAAGAAAGAAAGAAAGGATTTAGTTATGACTAAAAGAGCAAGGACTAGATACAGTTAAAAGGGGAATTTGCAATCGAAAGCTTAGTAAAGGAGCACTGTAATGCAAAGAGCAAGCAGAACCCGGGTGTGTGTGTGGGAAGAAACATAGCAAATACTGAGATAACACCTCATTCAGACAACAGCACATTCCCAACATCCATCCTTCAGTGTGAGGTCCTCAGACATTAAAAGGTATCATTTCTGAATTTCCAGGATCTAGCATATAGAGGAGGCACTAAACCCAATTTTTGCTGAATAAAAGAATGGAGTAAGTCAAGGTTCAGGAAAGTAATCCTGAATCCTAAAATGATTAAAGGAAGGGATAAAATAATATTTCTGAGGGAAGATGATAATAAATTGGGATTGGTTGATATAAGAACAGGATAACAACAGTCAAGTATGTGAAAGTGGCTTTCTCTCAATTTGGAAAAGATAAAATGGACTAAAACTATAGCATTAGTAACACAGGATAAGTAACACCAAAGGTAATATACTAGAGCTGTTGACGGATGGAATCAACCTTCCAGAGGTTACTAAATATCCAAAAGAACACATTTCAAAACAGCCCAGAGTCTCCTTTACTTGAGATCCTCTGGGTCAGCCCATTTACACATCCACGTTGTGCAAGTGCCTTTCTTGGACCGACTCGGGGCAGGGGCGGGCAGCAAACAGCCCTTCCCCAGTCTCCCCCTCAGGGCTCCATGACGCAGCGTCCACCAGTCTGGCCTCCCACTTGGGAAGGCACCTCTCCTGGAGTGGGAGTCCCGTTGTCCTCTGGAAGAATCGTCTCCCTGCTCTGGAACGGCTAGGCCACACGTGCCCCGGCTGTTTGTGTACAGGTGAGGATGGCCCTGAAGCCTAGACCAGTTTGAAACTACAAACTCTCAGTTCTTGAAAGGCAGCGTGAAGCAGCTGCCCCTGCCGAGGACTGGACAGAGTAGGAGGCTTGAAGCCAGGTTGGCAGAGAGAAGGATCCAGCATGACCCTTACCTTCTCTGACAGAGGTTTCCTCGAGTGGAGAGTGGGTGCGTGATGGCAACACCTGGCTTGCAGGGCTGCTGGGACGGTTCTTCCAGACATGACTTAAGGTAGGCACCTAGCGAAAACTAAGGCATAAATCTGAATAAAGAGCACTAGCTTTGAAAAGTATGTCAGAGGACAAGGCTTTTGCAAGAAGAGCTGAATTTCAAAAAAGATTTCTTCAGATTAAAAAAAATTATTTACCTATTTACTCATTTCATAGTCAATTCATGTTTGGTGTTAAAAATTTAGAATATATGATGAAACTCAAAAATTACTTGTACTTGTGAACTATGTTTTGGCCTATATATCCATGCAGGGATGTGTGTGTGAACAGCTGCTTTTCCTACCGGCAAAGTGGCCTGTTGTGGAATCTGCTTTCCTTACTTAACATCATCCTCTGTCGGGAAACAGGCATCTACGTTGCCGTTTTCAGTGGCTGCATCATATTCTACTATACGGCCATAAAATACTTAACCAGTTCCCTAATGACGGACATTTGATTTGGTTGCAAATTTTCGCACTTAAAATTAACACTGTGTTAAACATCTTTTTCTTAACTTAAAATGTTCTGAAAACACTGCCTTTTGTGACTCTACTGGGTGCTTTATTTCATTCAGTGAAGCAGCTGGGCGTGCATTTGCAACTGGTAGGCAATGGCACATTCTCTGATTCATACTTTAGTGTAACTTTCCTAATCTCTACAATAATTATTATTCAGATGGAGGATTAGCAGACTCCACAGTGTATTTTTTCCCCCACCATGTATTTTAAAGGCAGTTCCCAGGAACCTGCTTTGGAAGACTCCTCGAAACAAAATTTACATGTTGAGATTTTCAGAAAAACATTTTTTTCACAAAAATTAGAAAAATAAAGGCAGCTCTTGATGCCTGTTCCTAAACTGCAACCCGTGCCTGGAATTTCCACCTCTCCCTCATGTCCGGTCTCGGCTCCTGAAAGCCACTTCTCACACGAGCGAAGCCTTTCCCTACTAACTGCAAAAAGTTTTCCTACTTTTATTCCACAACTGCAGTTTACACAATTTCCCTTTCAAGAATCACTCCATCCCCCCACCCCCACACAAAATATAAAGTCCATATTTATTGGTTTTTGTTTGTTTTGTTTTCTATTTCATTAATATCTCCAATTAATTTTATTATTCTACTTTTTTGGGGCAAACTCAGTTCTTTTCTAGCTTCTTGGAGCTGTATATTTAACTTAGCTATTTTCAATTTTTTAAGAAATGAATGCATTCAAGGTTTTGCATCAATCTCGGATTAACTCTTTAGCTGCATTCCACAGTTCTGTAGTATTTTTGTCCTTCGGTTCTAAGCACTTCAAATTTTGCATTGTGATTTCTTAACCCATGAGTTCCTCAGAAAAATATATCTTTAGATTCCAAGTGCATCCCTTATCTTTTTATTTTTGATTTCTAACTTAGTTGCACTGTACTACTCACAAGGAAAGTGAGCTGCTAGCTAATGATTTTCTGAGAAATCTGAGACACCTCTCATGATCTAGTACATGGTTACATTTGCAAATAATTCTAATGTGCTTTCAGCACAAATTCTGTTAGCTTTTCAGTCATGTTGGGTCAATCTTTTTTTTACCTGTCATATTCTAATAAAAATATGTTAAAATCTCCCATTATGGCTGTGGATTTGACCATTTCTCCTTTAGATTCTGTCAAATTTTGCTGTACACGTACAGTTCATGATTCTTTTCATGCCCTTGGTGAACTGTTCTTTTTAACTTGTGTAGCGACCTTCTTTACCCCTATTAATATTGATTGTGCCTTAGATTCTATTTTTTTCTGATGTTAATATTGCTACTCTGGCTTTCCACTGGTTGGGGTTTGCCTGGTATGCGTTTTCCCGTGCCTCTGTTTTCAAACTTTCCAAATCGCTCTGAGTTCCCTCTTTTCTAAGCAGCATACAGCTGGATTTTTAAAAATCCAAACTGACAGTCTCTGTCTTCTAATCGGTGAGTTCAAGCCATTTAAATTTGTTGTGACGCATTTCCTACCCTCTTATTTTGTGTTTTCTACCTATCATCCTCATCCTTTGCTTCTTCCCAGTCTCCTTTCTTGCATTCCCTTGATTAATAAAAAGCTCTACTTCCTTTGTTGCTTCCTTTTGCTTTAGGTTGTATTCCCATATTTTCATGATTAACCTATCAACGCTGTAGATAATGCACACCTATGGCATTAGTGCAATCCTCTCAGAACCCTCCTTGTCCGTCAGCATCACTGTTTTAAGACGGTTAGAACTAAGTTAGCAGAGCTCCAATTCATTTAATACTGCAGTCGGAGAAGTAGATTTGTAGTCACTGCTTTGATAAGGCTAGGGATAGAGTTCTTTCCTTTAACATACAGTACCATCATCACTAGATATATTCAACTTTTCCCTCAGCTTTGGTGACTTTCAGATTTGTGCATAGAGACAGACCTATCAGAAAATTATCTTTCTTCTAAAAATAACTTCACAGAATTTGTTGCTTCTCTTCCTTAGTTTTATCCAAGTTCAGCCTCATAAATGGAGTTTTATTGTAGGAGTTTTCCACTTTTCAACTGAGGACTTGAAATTTCATCTTAGACATTATTTATAACAAGAAAAGAGTTGGAAATAATCCAGATATTCATAAAGGGAGTAGGTAAGCAAATTATGCATTAACACACTGTAATACTGCAGAATATCTATCAAATGTCTATATAAGATCTACACATAGGACAAAAATATAGATTACACTGATCCATGAACATGGTAAATGAATAAAGCAGAACACAGAACACCACATGTGTAATGCGTCCTAAGTGTGTCCATGTAGGAACACATACTGCATGCATCAGCGGGGTATCTGCATTAATTTTAAAGTTTCCCCTTGAAGCTCTTACATTTTTTCCCTTTGTTTCTTTTTTTGTTGGGGCTGCTGTGGTCATCGTCTTCTTTTCTTTCTTTCTTTCTGTTCTTTTTTAAGAGAACCTAACAAAGGCCTTAGCTTGTTTCTCACAATTTTTGGGTTAACACAAATCAGATCACTGTGGTGAGTCCATATTTCACTACATAAATGTGTGACTGACTTCATTTCCTGGCAGTGACATGCATTTGGCGGAAAAAAAAAGTTCAACTGATATTCAGTTTAAAAGCAAAGTGTTACGCTTCCTGAAATGTGGGGTGCTTTACATGATTTTACTCTTAACCAGACAATGATTCAGAAAAAGGAAGGGGAAATTTCTGCCGAAAAAGTTAGTGCATTCCCTCTTCTCGCAAAAATACATTTGCCCTATTTAAACGGTTCTATTTCCTTTGCCAGAGCTTTGCCAAAACCACCAAATTGTGAGAGTAAAAACATAAATTTTATTCTCTGCTCTGTTACTATATAGTATGTAACCACATTACGTATCACAGATTATAAAAAATTATATCAATCTTGAAATTTTAAAAGTTAGATCTATAGGAGGCAGTTTTTATTGCTTTTAGTTAAATGTGCTTTTTTAATTAAACGTACCCTTCTTGGTTTTTTTAGAGACCTTGAACACTGCTGATGGATATAAAAATGGACAACTTTACTACACCCTCTGCAGCTCCTCTGGAGAGCGACTGTGACCTCTACGCCCACCACCGCACAGCCAGGATCCTCATGCCTCTACATTACAGCATCGTCTTCATAATTGGGCTCGTGGGAAACCTGTTGGCCTTGACGGTCATTATTCAAAACAGGAAAAAAATCAACTCTACCACTCTATATTCAACCAATTTGGTGATTTCAGACATACTGTTCACCACCGCTCTGCCTACACGGATAGCCTACTATGCACTGGGTTTTGACTGGAGAATCGGCGAGGCCTTGTGTAGGATAACTGCTCTCGTGTTTTACATCAACACGTACGCAGGCGTGAACTTCATGACCTGCCTAAGCATTGACCGGTTCTTTGCCGTGGTGCACCCGCTGCGGTACAACAAGATGAAAAGAATTGAACATGCAAAATGCATTTGCATATTTGTCTGGATTCTCGTATTTGCTCAAACACTCCCACTGCTCATAAACCCTATGTCAAAGAAGGAGGCTGAAAGGACTACGTGCATGGAATATCCAAACTTTGAAGAAACCAAACCTCTTCCCTGGATTCTGCTTGGTGCATGTTTCATAGGATATGTACTTCCGCTGGTAATCATTCTTATCTGCTATTCTCAAATCTGTTGCAAGCTCTTTAAAACTGCCAAACAGAACCCATTAAGTGAGAAATCTGGTGTAAACAAAAAGGCTCTCAACACAATTATTTTTATAATTGTTGTGTTTGTTGTCTGTTTCACACCTTATCATATTGCAATTATTCAACACATGATTAAGAAGCTTCGTTTTCCTGATCTCCTGGAATGTAGCCAAAGATATTCATTCCAGATATCTCTGCACTTCACAGTATGCCTGATGAACTTCAATTGCTGCATGGACCCTTTTATATATTTCTTTGCATGTAAAGGGTACAAGAGAAAGGTCATGAAGATGCTGAAACGTCAAGTCAGTGTATCAATTTCCAGTGCCGTGAAGTCAGCCCCTGAAGAAAACTCACGTGAAATGACGGAAACTCAAATGATGATACATTCCAAGTCTTTAAATGGAAAGTAAAAAGGAATTAAATCTTGGATTTATAGCAAAGTAAACTGTATGACAAACTTTGCAGGACTTTTCTTATAAATCAAAATGACTGTTTAACTTCTAATTAGGATTCTTTTAAATTCCTTTCATTGGGCACTATTTCTCACCTCCAACTTGGAAGTAAATTGATATATATGCATTTTTTTACACTCGAGAACGACATTAAGCAAAGTTCTAATTTGTAAATGAAATACTACACCAAAAGGGAGCATATTTTAATAACTCACAGTGTAGAAAGAAAAGTTTTGTGTTAATGAAAAATTTAATCATTAATATTTCCTGCCAATAATTTGGCAAAAGAAAAAAAAGACTGTTAAAATTGTATATTGCCAGTGTAGAAATGTTAATATTGTAACATATTTCTTTTCTTTTTTTTTGATAACATATTTCTTCAGTTCATGTTTCTTTCAATCTTAGACTTTATCTCCTCGATAATAAATTTTTTTGTTTTGTTTTGTTCTGAGTCATAAATTTTTGTTTCAAAAAGCTCTTTTGGAATAAAGAGCTGGATGCTACAAAATTATGAGTATGTCCTTCAGTGCTCACTGTCTACCCTCATCAGAAGTTACAGGGAGGATAAAATTAGCAGTAGACAGAGTTTGGACAGCAACATTATGGTGATGAATGCAATGAAAGCTCTTCCCAAACAGCCAGCATGGCATTCAAGGGCCACTGCTCAGGAATATCACGAGGACTTCCTGTGCAAGGAGGCACCATGTGCTAAATTCTCCTTGAGAATAAAAAAGTATACAAATAGCCTTGGTTTTTCTTGGGTCCCTAGGGGATGGTTTCTTATTTATACAGAAGTTGACAGTACCCTGTATCTGTATTTCAGGGGTTTCGGTTACCAGAAAGGGTAGGGAGGATGAGCAGTGGGGTGTAGTTGTCACTTGCCTAAAGAAGATGGGGAGTAAAATGCAAAATCATAAACTTCAGAGTAGCCAGGATTCTTTACAACATTATATAAATAAATATATAAATTTTATATAAATAAATACCTTTTTATGAGTAGCATGACCTCTGCAAGTACAATCACCCATCTGCCAGCTCAAATTTGCTTTATTGAATCCCCAAATTACCCCAATACAGTATCCATGTTAGCAATGATACCAAGTTTGATAACGGAACTAAAGAAATGAAATGCTGTGTCATGAGTCATACTTAAAATTTTTACTAGGCTTTATATCCTGGAAATATTTTCTTTCAAAGTCTTCTCTTACTCATTTTCAACTTTTATCCTGTAAGAAAACTAATCTTAATGGTTGATTCAGCACCATTTACTGAGTGCTTTCTGATTTGTATTTTGTTAATTTCATAGATAGCTAGCTGACCTTAAAAAGCCACTGTCAAAAATAGGCACTGGTCCTTGTTTCACCTTACGGAGACAGGTGAGACCACAAGGATGCAAGTCAGGAACTTACGGCCTCTCCTTCACTCCATCTAATAAACATTTCCAAGTGAAGGAGAAAAAAGGGCAAAACACTAAATTTTATGCAGGGTGGCACTTATGTAGTCATTTGAGTTGGATCCCAAAAGAGAAACCATTGTGAAAGTTGCTGAAGGAAAACCAGAAACAAAGCTTCCTGAATTTCAGATCATCTTCATGGCACACTAGCTCTATGACTATGTTCCAGCATAGACTATTGTATGTATAAGCCAACATGCTGTTTCATAGCAGATAAGAGAGGCCTCTCGGTGCTAATGGTCAGTTCCTAAGATCCTCCAAACAAGGTAGTAAATACCTATGTCACTTGACAAAGGAATGAGTAGTTTTCTCCCTCCTTCTTCCACTATATCACAAGTCTGCGCAAATGATTTTATCCAATCATCAGTAGTCATACTGCCAAGAAGGTAAACTTTAAACCTACTTCCAATCAATCTTTTAAAAAAAAAAAAGGTCTGTATTCTAGTCAATTCAGCTATTCGCTCTCCTTCAAAAGGACCTTACTTCCTATTTCATTCATGAAGCCACTGTTCACACACGGCCTTGGGGCACCCTCCCAGGGTCTTGTAGTATTAGTTGGCTTTAGGTTTATCTCCCATGCATTTCCCTCAGGAGTAGGTAAACTTGGAGAACAGGGACAATGCTGTATAATTTTGTGTTCTGTTACAGAAATAAGGAGGTGGCCTTATATATAATACATTATTTGAAAATCACAACCTATAAATATTTTCTCCAGCAGTCAGGTGATACATTATTAACAATTTTAAATAATAACATGTAGCTAGGAAAAATCATCTAGGAAAGCTGATAGTTACATGGCAGCTAACCATATTCACCTCTTCCATAATTTTATTTTTATTTCTAAAAGGATCATTTGATTAATTTAAAAAAACCTCTCAAAGCTACTTAATTTGAGTCAGTATAAACATGTAGACACTTCAGTGATAGTACAGAATAGATAGTATAGAATAGTAAAGGTTAGATTTTAGAAATGACATCATGTATATATGAAGAGTGCAATGGTTCACAAAAATAGTCCATGCAGTATGTAATGTCTTCCGTTTCACAATCCTGTGAAACAGGATGAGCAGATTGTATCACCCACACTTTATAAAGAAACCTAAATTCAGAAAAGGCACCTGGTAAACTAGAGGCAGCATCAGGAATGTAACCCTAACGTCATATCCCAGCCATAAAAAAGACAGAACTGAATCACACACAGACCCTGAAAAAAGTATTACAAGGCTTGTTTCGTTATAGGCCAGCAGGTTAGCTAACCCTTAAATAGGACAAATAACCAAGGTAGGTAGATTACAAACTCAGGCTATGAGTTCCCTGAGGATGAGAATGTCGTAGGTTATATACACAGCACGTGGTACAGAGCCTCTCCCACAGAAGGCTCTCAGATATCCATCTAATTGAATAGCACCTGTTTTGTACTATTACTAACAAAATACTAAAGCCCTACTGAAATATCTGTGAAGTTCTTAATTTTTCAATAAAATGAAAAGAAACACTCTAAATGCTTAATTACATATGCTAGAGAATATGTAATTGTGTAACTGAAGACAAAGACCCTCTAAGACCCTGCAATATAAACTAGACATATTAAAGAACAGAACTAATTTCCCAAGAAGCCAATTTAAATCTAGATACACAAATATGTTCTGCTTGAAAACAATTTTATATTTCAAGAGGCCACGGCAGTGACTCTTACCGATCAGTAAAAAGTACCAGGCAATTTTAAAAGAGGAAGCATTGACCTTAAATTAGCCTTTAAAATGGTCTATTTTGGTCACTCTTAGCCCACTGTAATTTGTTATTCTTTGCAAAGCTAAAAACATTTGCTCATTGACTATTCAGGTAAGAGTGAAAAAATGAAGAGCTGATCTGGTAACAACACAGCCCACTCTTTTGGATCCAGGGAAGACTAAATGCACTCATGAGAACCGATGTCACCGGAAGTTTGTTTTATGTTAAACTCTGAAGAACTGGTCACTTAAAAAATAATCCTCAAATTTCTACTCAACTAAAAGCTCAATTAGCTGAGAAGGAATGACTACTGACTGTTTACTATGTGCCACTTTTTCGAGCACCTGACAGGCATTATCTCATTTAATCCTCATTACCTTAAGAGGTGGGTATAACTTTTTCTCCATTTTGCTGATGAGGAAACTGGAGTGCCAGGCCACGGAGACGTGGAGCTGGGGACTCAATCCAGTGCACTACAGGCACTGGCCCCAGTGCCTGTAGCCTGACATGGAGCACAAGGATGTCACCTCCTACAGAAACATGTTCATTAAGAGATGGCTCCATTCCTCTGCTTCCTGTGGCTTCCCAGGCCTCAGACACTTCCCATCACCACATCGGACTTTCAGCTTATCGTCTTTCTCCACAGGGCCCCCCTAATTTCTCTGCAAACTCAAGCTCCATTCTCTGGGTCACCCACACCTGATCATCCTCTCTCATCCACGGTATTTGGCCAGTGAACCCTGCTTGGGTTTTCTCCTCTTGCACTCACTCTTGCCCGTCTTTTCTTTGTCCCAAATCATCATCCTAGTCCGGATGCTGGCATCACACACCTAAATTACTACAACTTCTTTCCCACTGGTCTCATCAACTGGAATCAGAAACTTTAGCCTTCCTTTCAGGTGCTATAGTGGAAGCCAGCAGATTAATAATAACAGCAATGGGCTTCCCTGGTGGCGCAGTGGTTGAGAGTCCGCCTGCCGATGCAGGGGACGCGGGTTCGTGCCCCGGTCCGGGAAGATCCCACATGCCCCGGAGCGGCTGAGCCCGTGAGCCATGGCTGCTGAGCCTGCGCGTCCGGAGCCTGTGCTCCACAACGGGAGAGGCCGCAATGGTGAGAGGCCCGCGTACCGCAAAAAAAAAAAATAATAAATAATAATAATAACAGCAATACTAAATAATTCCTAACAATTACATGGCATAATGCTCTAAGCAATTTATATATAATCAAGCCTCACAATAATTCTGTGAGGCTTGTCCCATTATTATCCTTGTTTTACAGATGACGAAATTATGCTCCAGAGAAGTTCAGTAAATTGCCCAGATCCACACAGCTAGTAAGTGGAGAGGCAGGCTCTAGCCTCTGGCAGTCCGGCTCCAGGGTCTGTCACTCTTAATCACTACATTGTCTCTCTTAAGCAAGTAGAATTATATGCCCAGGTCCTCAGAGAGCCTTGGAAGAGACACTTACTGCTCGAATATCCGCAGCTTCCCTTTGGGGGTGCACATGACTACCTCTGGCCAATGGGTTGGGGGCAAAAATGATATAGGTCACTCACTTCCAGGCTGGAGCTCTGGAGAGCAGCGATGGAGCTTCCATACTGCTCTTCTCTCCTGCCACAGCGACCAGCGAGGTTCTAAGTGGTGGGACCTTTGGTCAGCCTGGGTCCCTGAACGAGTAAATGGAGAACTCCCCACCCCTGTACGCTTTCCACCTGTGTTGGCCAAGTAGCGCAAATAAGAAATGCATTTATGTATTCAGCCACTGAGATTTCAGGGTCAACTGTGGCCACAACACAGGCTAGCCTCTGATCAACACAGTGTTTAACCTACTTAGAATGCAACTGACCAATACAATGAGTGTAAGAAAAGAAAAATGCACACACGATGCAGTTCTCCCGGCAAACAAACATAATCTTCCTTAATCCCAGTTTCATCGTGTCATTTCACGCTCTAGGACTGAGAGTATTTCCCCATGGACTACTACATGAAGTCCAAATTCTTCTCCCACACTTTCAAGCCTCTGCAACCTCATTTCCCTCCACTGCCCAACATGTACCTTTCAAGATAGTATAGTTGGTCTGTGCTGTGAATATAACAAATATTTGGTTCTCCTGGTTGGATTATTCTGCTTCTGCCATTTATTCTTTACACTCATAGTCTAATCATACCTGCTCCTTTAATTCTCCTTTGACTACTCAAAGCCACGCATCTTCCCTTTCCTCAACTTATTTGGCTTTTATACAGCCTATGCCACATAGTTTTAACTTTAAACAAATATTATCTTGAAAACAAAGGGAGAGAAAAAATACACTGGTCTAGAAACC